GCCAGTGGGCCGGGCGCTCCCCGGAGTCTGCTCTCTGTCTGCTGTTGACTCGGTAGGCGCCCCGCTTGCCATCCTGACCGCCCCTTACCTGGGGCTGCCTCTCCTCTATTGGGCCTTTATGTTCCTCCTCTTGGTTTCTCTTTTGGATTGCATGTTGCTTCAAATAAAATCGCTAACAACATATGGCCCGTTATGATTCTCTTTTCCCAAACTCTGCCATTTTGTATATTTGTGACACACTGCAGATTTTGTGAAGATTGCTTCATAATATTTGTTTGCCATCTGCTGCACTCTATTTGGTATCTTGCTAGGATTTTTTCCTCCATTTTAAGTGACATTAACAAAATCCAGCCAGTACATAGACTTTCTGGTTCTACTTTTGCTTCCCTAATGTGCTGGAAAATCATATTACTGTGCCCCAGGCAACGAGAGAAGCCTGGAATTCTCATTGTGAACCAGGGTATCGGATCCTCCCCCCACCTTGGCCATATCTAGTAATGCTTTTTTGGTCAGATGGCAAAGAACCTCCACGTGTAAGACAAAAAGAGTTCAAAGTATTTTTTTTCTACTTGTCTCTACTTAGGGCCTTGGCTTTCTAGTGCTCTTCAGTATATTTATACCTTTGAAACTCTTTGCACCATTTTAGTGAGTTTTTGTGATTTACGGTTCCAGTTAATGTACTTTTTAAAGCTAATCCAATTTGATAGGCCAGTAGCCAGAGTCTTTGCTAGATAGGCTGACTGTGTATGTCCAACTTTTTCTTCAGAAAAGTATTTTAAGTTATTGTCATACTAAATTGCTTGGTGTGTGTTTCTGCTTTCTTCCACTTCCCTCACTTCTCATTCCTATCAATTCATTTGCTTCATTTAAAGAATTTTTTTCCAGCTTTCTTGAGATATAATTGACACATAACATTGTGTAAGTTTAAGGTGTACACATGTTGATTTGACAGTTACATATTGCAAAATGATTGCCACCATAGTGTTAGCTAACATGTCCATCCTGACACATAATTATCATTTTGTTTTTGTAGTGAGAACATTTAAGATCTATTCTCTTAGCAGCATTCAAGTATATAACACAGTGTCATTAACTATAATCACCATGCTGTGCATTAGGTCCCCAGACCTTGTTAACCTTATTACTGGAAATTTGTACTCTTTGACAGATATCTCCCCATTTCCCTATCCTTCAGCCCTTGGTAACCTTTACTGTTTCTCTTGAGTTTGGGTTATTTTAGATTCCACATATAAGTGATATTTTACAGTATTTGTCTTTCTCTAACTTACTTCACTTAGCATAATGCCCTCAAGTTTCATCATCCGTGTTTCTTTTTCTTGGCTGAATAATATTCCTCTGCATGTGTGTGCGCGCGCGCGTGTGTGTTTATACACACACACACACACATCTTCTTTATCCATTCATCCATTGATGGACACCTAGGTTGTTTACATATCTTAGCTATTGTGATACTGTTGCAATGAACATTGGAGTGCAGATCTCTCTGTGAGGTTGTGATTTCAATTCCTATGGATATAGACCCAGAAGTACGATTGCTGGATCAGAAGTTAATGTAATTTTAATTTTTTGAGGAACCACATATTGTTTTCCATAGTGGCTGTCCCTCTTACCTTTCCACCTACAGTACACAAGGGTTCCCTTTTCTCCACACTCTCACCAACATTTGCTATCTCTTTTTGAAGCTAGTTATGTAACAGGTGTGAGATAATATGTCACTGTGGTTTTGATTTCTGTTTCCCTGATAATTAGGGATATGGAGCTCCTTTTCATGTACCTGTTTGGTTATTTTTATGCCTCCCTTGGAATCCCTTGTCTTGAGAGAGAAGTGTATTCTCATTTGAAATGCCAAGGCCTATGGTTTGCCCTTGGGTTGCCATCAGGGTCTGATAGCTTGGATTTTGCCTTTGGACCAGAATCATTAGTCTTCTCTTATGTATAATTACTTTTCCAACTCAGTCTCCTTTCTGACAAGAACAGGAAGTCTTCATTGAAACTACTAATTGCAAATATTAAAGAGTGAAGCAAACAGCCCTCCAAAGAGCAGTTTCTGTAAGGGAAAGCAGTACCTATGTGAAATGGAGTCTCTTGTTAATCCGTTAAGAACTATTCATCACTGTGTCATATAAAGCTGGTTTTATCCTCAGGCTTTATCAAGATGCGTCTTTCAACCTACCTTGTCTCTTTATGGGACAGCTGCAACGCTTTAAGTTTGCACCAAAAACTGTTCTGGCCATTTGTCCTCAGTTTCCTGTCCACTTAACACAAGGTACCCTTTAGTGTTTCATAGCTGCTTTCCATGGAACTGCTACATTTTCTATGTATGTATGTTTGGTTATATATGTTACATATGTATGATTTTTTCTGGTAATTGACCCCCCTCACAGTTTTTTTTGCTGAAATTATCTCGCCGAGATTTCATAGAATTCCAGAATCCTTTGTTCTAAGTCACCTTAAATGTTCAAGCCTTGGCTCTGAGAGCTTAAAGAACTCTTTTTTGTCCTTGTTGTTGCTACTGATTTAGAGAAAACGGTGTTTAAATGATTTCTTCTGGAATCTGTGCCCTCCCTTTACAAATTATAAAAAGGTTTTTCACCTGTTGTATTAAACTCGAAGCACTTCCTCGTTCCATGTGAACAGTGCCTTGCTGAGGCCTTGTGAATGTTGAACTTGACTGTCATCTGTCCCTGTGTGGTGACCATCTCTATAGCTAGCTCTGGTGTACAGGTGAGATTTACAAAAAGCTACTTTATTCAGGCTGGAAATTTTACCAAGTTCAGGACTTCATCAGGAACAAATCATTTTAGTACACATCCAAACCGATCATTTGATTTGGCTTCAAAACAAAAATGTTAAGTGCTTTCATGTGTGGTAATATGTCCCTTTATACAGTATCATTTTGCCCCTTTTGTTGCCTGCGTTTGCAAGAAAGTTTTTTGACTTAACCTTGAAAATACTAGTTTCTCAAACCTGTGTAGAAACTCCTTCTGTTTCCAAAACTAGAATAGCATTTCTCTCCTAATTTGTATCTTAAAAAAAAAAAAAGAGGACAGGAAAATGCTGGATTTCTGTGTAGTCCTTTCTATATGTAACCTCCGTAGGAATGTGCCTTCTTTGTTACTGAAAGTGTCCCCTGCGTGCAACTCTTGGTAGTAATGACACCAGTAGTGACTGACGGCTCCCAGCTACGCAGATATTCAGACACTGTGACTTGATGATACTGATTTACATCGAGGTGGGAACTCTGCGGGAGTGAACGGTATCTCAGATCCAGGTAACGGTTGCTTTAGAGAGAAGACCCCAGTGAGGGCTGTTGGCTTGGTCACTGAGCAGGGCAGGCACAAGTGGCAGTCTGCCTCATGCTGTCAGGTTGCTGTTGGCTGTTGAGGAGAAAAAGCAGGTAGCATTTTGCTCTGAAGTGGTTATTTAGGAGCGAATACAAGCTCCCTCTCAGGGCTCCCAGGGCCTGCTCACCAGTAGGGGGATAGCTTAAGAACTGTAGGTGGACAGGAGGGAGGGCCTGCTGAGGGGTGTGGGCTGAGATCCAGGTGCTGAACTGAGCTCCCTTGCATTTTCAGTGAGAGTCCCCAGAGCATGTCATGCTAGCTTACTGTCTTTATGATGAGAGATCTATCTTTTTCTCCAGTGCCTGGGATCAGGTTCTCTGCATCTGATCAAATCAGCAATTAGATGCCTAAGAGCACCTCCCCCACCAAATAATAATAACACAGTTTAACAAGTGCACCAGAGCTGAGGCACGAAAATGAGAGAGAGCCTGTCCCTTCCAAGTTGTCCCCCTGGGAGGCTGTGTCTTCCAGCAGTGCCGCCATCGCTCAAAATGTTTTGGCATTTTTCTTTCAGCTGTACATGTAGAGTCTACCGCATAGGTTGTTCTCCTGTTCACAGACTTTTATCTTTAGTAGAGTGAAGTAACTAACTAAATATTCAGAAACAGCCAAAAGTTATTCTTGGTCCTGCCTGGTACATTGTGTAGGTTGAGTGAGTGATCAGATGGACAGTTCCATTTAGGGCTAAAAATGAGATCTGATATGTTCACGTGGTTTATCTTCAGGTTCTTAAAGCTGTTTTGAAGAGGTATTTCAAAACTATTTTGAATAAGAGAAGCATTAATGAAATAAGTACATTGTTTCCGGTTGTGGCTACTTTGATGATCCACTTACTCAAATGTATCCATTCTGGTTAAGTATTTTGGGAAGTCTTACTACCCTCTAGTTTTGGGACCATTAAATAATTTCACAGTAGCACAGACCACCATTTGAAGCTTCCTGTGGTCCCAGAGTACCCAGTACAAATGGAGCAGTTGGAAAAGAGAAGAGCTACAAGGTCAAGTGGGTGATGACGAGAACCGTTGACGTTAACCTTACACGAGGCTTCCAGTTCTGCATCAAGGGAGTGATGATAATAAGTTGTACTGTCCACATCAGGGGATCGTTGTGAGGTTAAGGGGATGTTGTGTGTGGAGCATAAATCTCAGTGCCTTGTGTATAGCAGTGTTCAGGAAATGTTAGCCATTTTTATTATGCTATTATGATGTGGTAGATTGCCTGGGAGAAAGGGTGATGGGGAGGGATCAAGGGATGGGATGCCATGTGGGAAAAGAAGTACTAATAGTTGAGTAAAATTGGCCTCTCTGGTTTTTAATGTTCTCCTAACGAAACCTATTTAGTCATACTCAAGTTCTGCTCACCTTAACTTAGATATGTGTCATGAATGATGTGAGCACTATTTTAATTTTCAGCTGTCCCTAAAATTTTTAGTTCTCTATTGAGATTGTGGTTGTTTTCTGAACAGCAACAAGAAAACCCCAACAAACCAATAAAGTCACCATCCCTAAAATGTGGTGTTGAGGATTTGGGTATCACGTTGTACAAACCAATTATATTACGTTCCCAGTTGATGTAGTTTTTGTACATTACACAAATGCAAATCGTATGACTTGCATGATGTTGCTTTTTAAACAGATGAAGATGAAGATGGTGATCGAATTACAGTGAGAAGTGATGAAGAAATGAAGGCAATGCTGTCATATGTAAGTATATTACAAATGACTTTTTTTTAAAAGTTCATGTAATCGAGGATGCTGTTTCTTGGCATAGTGAAGATATAAAAGTAAATCACAGTTCCTATAATATTTTTCTGTGTAATATATAATCTTTTTAAACATTTCCTTACGTGAAAGTTAAGAGCATTCTTTTTGAAAGGCACTTACTGATCATATCATGAACATTAAGAATAATGCATCTTAATGACTTTTGCATTAGGTATGGTGCAGACTAAATGGACTATCAATTTCCTGTATTTTTTATGCAGTACTTAAAGTAACGGCTCATTAAAAATGAACCCCTGGGCTCTAAAAAATTTTTCAAAATCTACTTTCGACTGGAGATCTCTTTCACCCTTCCAAACAGACTGTAGTTATAATGTAGCTGCAGGCTTGATATGGATATGTGATTTAAAGATGTATTCTGAGTTATTTTATGCCCTAACTCCCCTTTGCCCCCCACCCCAAAATGAACTACAGAATCTAAGTCCTTTGAATATATCCTGAAATGACTTTTCTTTTGTGTTTCAAATTTCAGAGAAAATTTGCATTAACATTTGTCTCAGGACTGAAGTAGATGAAAAAAGAATCCATTTCTAAAAACTTAAATTCTAAGCTTGAAAAATTCAACTACAGTGAAGAGACATAGCTTCCCTGAGCCCTCATTTGTTCTTTTCTTTTACTCTGTTTTATTTTCTCTTACTCATTTTATCTGCCTTTACAATCTGTGTACAAAACCTGGTCCAGAGGTCTGGTGAAAAAAAAGCACCGGACTTGAAGTCCAGAAACCACTGCTCTCCTCTGGCTTCCTGGCCTTAGGCGAAACACTTAACCTTTCTGTGCTGTGGTTGCCTCATCTGTCAATTGTGGATAATAATGCCTGTCCTTTCTCCTGCACAGGGTCATTGTAATGATCAAATGGGGTAATAGATGTGAAAGCCCTTTGAAAAGTTAAGAGGATTCTATACAAATGCAAAGTGGTATCATGGTGGAAATGATGGAATCAGGGCCCTGGCTTGTCTGCCAGACTCTCATCTCAGCCAACAGTTAGGTGGTGGATTTTTGATAGACCTCAACTTCAACCAGGACATTGTTTCATTGTAATGAAAACTGTAAAACATCTGTATGGGTTTCCGCTGATAGTTTTAATTTAGGGTGGGAGGAAAGAGAACAAGAAGGAGGGCATGATTAACAGAGCGTTGCATTCACACCAGCACAGAGTAGGAAAAGTCAATTTCCCATTGACTTCCCATTACCTTATTTGAGAGTCTTTGTGCCCTGAGAATTTAGAGCAGAGCTCGTCGGTACCTTGAAAGGCAGAGTAGGATTGTCTGCTGAAAGGTCTAGCACTAGTATTGATGGATTGGCTAACTCTCCTGAGAATGTGACATGCTTATTTTTAGAAGACACACGTACGCACAGATGGATTCTAGTTTTTTCGCATACATCCAACTGCAGAGTGTACATTACTGACATCAGTGTACTTTTCTTGTGTCCCTGACATAACCACACGCACAAGGTGTGTTTTCAAAAATGGACTTTTGGGCAGATCTAACAAATCGTGCTCTTTGGGAAATGTTGCGGCATGTGATCATAATGGTAATAATGCTTTCCGTTTCTAAGTGCTCACTGTACCCTAGGTGTATTTAATTTTCTTTGGTGTTAATAACCACTCTGCAAAGTAGATATTACCATCCCTGTCTTCCAGATGAGGACGCTATGGTTAAGAGACCTGCCCCAGGTCTTATAGCTAGTATGAATGTGAATATGCAATTTAAGTTCAGCTTCTCCTTATGCCAGAGCCCATGCTGCTTCACTGTTTTACACTTTTTGTCTCCCATCCACTCTTGCACGTTAGCATTGGGATCTTTCTACGTGTTGAAAAACAAAATTCAACTGAGTAGATTTTCAAGCTCTTACGGGCCTGATGCAGTGATTCATGAGTAGGACAGCAAGCCATCTAGCAGATAGAAAGGCAGTCTGAAGACTTCTGTAGGCAGGAGGCAGGACAAGGAAGTAATTTTCGCCAAGAGCTGATGGTTCCAGGCAAGGTCACCTTCCTTTAGGAGGCAGCGGGGGTCTATCGGGTGGATTACCTCATTAGTGCTGACCAGGAAATTGCAGACGGACAGGTTACGATTACCTTCCTGGGAGAGGCTGGGACTATAATTAGGATAGGTATTTTAAGTCTTGGTTTGGTGACTTGGATTTGGCACACGTGACTCCATTTTGGGCCTGTTGTCTCTTTTTTTAACATATGTTACCACCGTAATTACATTCTAAATGATTTGTGTTTATATAATATCTTAGTTATCTGTATTATATATTCCTCATGACTTATGCTTATTTTCTCAAATGCAGTGTTTATTTTTGCACTGTAGTAAAATATCAGAGTTATATAATTGTCCTTAGACTTAAAAGTCCCTGAGATTTCTTGAGAGCCACTTTTTAGTCTGAAAAATGCTCATCTAACTTACTGATCCCCAAATATTTGGATTTTGTGAACTAATCAATTTTTTCATTTTTAGACTGAGGGAGAGACATAGGCATGATAACTTTTAATTTTGCTAAATAAAAACAATAAAATAAACTAATAAAAATGTACTGTTAACCATTACTTTATTAAAGAAAAAGAATGGGAGTCATTTAAAGATTAAAACAGTGGGCAGTACATAACCTCGAAAGTAAAGATGATCACTAAGTGAGTAAATTTAGTTTTATGTAAAACTCACTATATTATTCTTAATTTTGTTGATTTGCTCTGGGTGGTGAAAACTTTCTTTGTGAATTGGCAGTGGTCCACGGACTGGGTCAGGATGTCAAGTCCAGGTCCTCTCATGAATTCTCTTAATGTTTATAGTGAGAACCTGAGGCCCCAAAGAATTTTAACTTAAACTAGAGCCCCACTCTCCTAATTCAGAGTGTTGGGGCAAATTATTTTTAAAATGAAAAAGAAGGTGAAAATACACTTGAGAAGGATAACGTTTTAAGTTCCTTAAAACCTAAGTGGGTTTCCTTTCCCCCTTATTTCTTGAGGCAGCGCCTACCATCACATACTCTTTGTTTAAGCAGAGTCAGGTCTGAATAAACAATTAAAAAGCAAAGAGTAGGGGGATCTCTGTCTCAGAAAGCATAGACAAGATTGGCTTGTTGTCCTCTTGGTCTGTCTTGGTTCTTATGGCTGAGATTCCTTTGGGTTACAGTTTTGCCATAAAGAGAACCATTTGGCCTTAATCTTAAAATAGGTCTTGGTTGGTAGTCTTAAGTTGCCACTCTGTTTTTAAACACCTGCATTGGTCTCTTATTTTTTAGGTTCAATTTGGTTCAGAAAAATGATTCCAGGATTTGGGTGTTGGCATGGGGAAGACACTGAAAAATGACCACATATTTACTATATACATATATATAAAGCTTAGTTTTTCATATGGAATTCCATAAATTTGCAGTCACCTTAGTATTTCTTTAAAAACCATATGGGGAAGGCAAAATGAGACACACTGTCACCATAAATCCTTTGATCATTCTTTTCCATTGATTATAAAGGTTAAATGAATAAACCACCTGGATCTCTGCATTAAAAGACAAAACAAAGCAAAACAAAAAACCCCAGCAACTTCTGAGTTGAAACTTAGAGAATTACTTTTTTCCCCCTTGGATGCAAGCATTTTCTGGCTTTGGGCCAACAGAAGCATGCGTTTTTATCAGTAATTTAAATAGATTTTTGTATTAGACCTGAAAATGTTGCCTTTTTCATTGGAAACTTATCAATTATTTAAATTGCCAGCAGCCTTCGGCTGCTCGCTTTATGTGTACCATAATAATGGCATACAGTGGTTTGTGATACATGTGACACGTGGACTGTTGCTCTGTGGTAAGGATTTGTCACGACAGCAGGTTGTTGTGGGCTGTAGATAATAACCAGCATATTAAACCAAAGTCTGTTGTCACACATTAGTACCATTTTATGTAAGTTATTTAGAAGTTGTGTTCCTTTCTTCATTAGATATATTTTTAAGAGATAATGAGAAGAAAACAAAGCTATAATAAATTGTCTTTTAAGAAAATGTAAAGTAATTTGGTCTCCAAGGAGATATTTAATGTATTGAGAGAATTCAGCCGCCAAGTGTTATTACAGCACCATTGCGATAGCTCTCTGCGTTTTGTTATGAGTTTGTGTTAATCAACAATCTGTTTTTATAGCATAGTTTCTTGTAAGTTATGTTGTTGGAATATTCCACTTCTGGGATCATGGCTTTTCCTCTGACACTATTGTATCTTTTTAACTTCTCCATAAAGTATTTTTTTAATTAGAATTTGAAATGCTTTATTAGAAAAACAAATACACACAACCTACATATTCTGAAAACTAAATACCTGATCACTGCTAATTATTTAAAGGACCCTATTAAATGGTCCCTTAAAGTAGTTTACATTTTTTTGTTGTTCCTGTTTTTCCCCCTCTCATTTTCTAGAGAGATTGAAGATAATACGCCACTTTTCTTCTGTCTGTTCGTATCGGTTGTCTAGTAGTGCTGGCTTCATCTCCTTAGAGCATCAAACAACGCTGGGCCTTATTTATTGATTCATTATAAGCTTTATTTATCACTGAGACCCTTTTATAGGAGGGGGTTATTTGAATGTTAACCTCTGCTTTCAGATGACCTTTCATCAAGAAACTCAGCAGTACATCTTGCTTTTGTAAATGGATTCACGTTTGTTTCTGCTAAATCCCATGTGTAATAAAGGATTTATTACACCTGGTTCTCTCGATACTGAGAGGCTTGTTTGAGTGGAGCACAGTATTAACAAGAATCGTTTTCTTCATTTTGCCCGCTCTCTTTATACCATGTCTCCACATTGCCGGAAGAGGACGAGATAAGTGTGACTGCAATGCCTCCCATCATGGCAGAGACCTTGTGTTTTAGTGGAGTGGAAGTGTTCCCTTTGGTGTACTTGACCTTAGTGTTCCTTGTTAGGTGTTGGTCACC